AGGAGGGCCGCGAGGCTCACGAGCGGTCGCGGAAGGCCAAGAAGATGATCGGGCTGAAGGCCAAGCTCTACCACAAGCAGCGGCACGCCGAGAAAATACAGATGAAGAAGACGTGAGTAGCCATGGTGCCGTCCAGTCATCCTGGCCTGAGATGAGACCTTGATACCATTACAAAAAACTACTTATTACCTGGATTATACATTATACTTTTAAATGGCGGCCAGGTTGTAGGAAAAAGTGGGTTTTGCGACAGCGAGGGCATTTCTGACTTCCTGGATGTTAACCGTTCTGCTCCTAAAAGCATTCCTTCAGATAAGCGTTAGCTATAGTAGTGACTTGTGTAATTGTGATAAAAATATGAATGCATTTATGTAGGACTTTTACATTAACTGCTGCATTAGTGTAGCAAGATGTAGCAGGCATTTTGAGAAGGTTTTTTTAAAAGATAAAGTACTGTAACATAGTGAGCAGAACATGAGGTATGTCTTTCAGGATAAGTTACAATATCAAGCATAGATAAACAAAAGCATTTTGCTGAAAATTTTCTGTGTTACTCAGAATTTGAAGTCAAAGCTATTAGCAATACTTTTTATTGCTAATGAATTTACTGTTAATCCATCATGTTGTTTGTGTTGTTTTCCAAGTGTAGACAGTTATTTTCCTCTGCTACTTATAAAGGTGTTAGGTTTGTTAACTCGTTTGTGGGTCATTTTTTTTTTCATAAATGGTCTCAGTATTAATGAAACATGACCCCTTTTACACACCAATGTTCTGTAGATTGGTAAGCATTGCCATCAAATCTCAGAAGAGTAGCAGAAGAGAAGTTTTTATGTCAGGAAGGCTACTGTCTCTCAAAGTGCTTGCCTGCTTGTTTTGTCATTCAAAAATTCCTTAATAAGATGCATGTCTTATGTGACTGTCTTGACAGGAATTGACAAGCTTTTATGCACTGTACAGTCTGTGAGTTGTTACATTAAGTGAAATTACTAGTTTACCTTGAAAATTATTTAGGATTATTCCTTAAATGTAAATATATACTTGTTTACAAATATCTCTGTTAAAAGAAAATTTTGAGCAGGTAGAAGCTAAGTTAAAAGGATGTATCAATGATCTAAAAATGAGCCTTTTTTTCTACTTTTGATACTTGTGTTCTTTCCTTGCAGCATTAAAATGCATGAAAAGAGAAATACAAAGCAAAAGAATGATGAAGAAACACCTAAAGGAGCTGTACCAGCATACCTGCTGGACAGAGAGGGCCAGTCCCGGGCTAAGGTTCTCTCTAACATGATCAAGCAAAAAAGAAAAGAAAAAGCTGTAAGTAACTGTATTAAAATTCAGATACTTATTATTACTTGTGACAAAGTCCACTTTGTGGTGCTGATGCTCAGGGGACTTAGAGCCTGCTAGCGAAGTCTAAATACTGATACTGTGCAAAACCTGAAACCTTGCATAACTCAACAATCTAGGACAAAGTAAGCATATGCAATATCTTTATCTTCATCACTTTAAATGCCAGTTAAAATAGGCAACTATGAGTTGTATATGTTATACCACTACTCTTTAGGGAAAAAATTTGTGCTTTCTTTGTCCCCTTTCATTTAATACAGCATGTAAGACTGTTGACTTTTTCTTTTTCCCCCTTTCCAGGGGAAATGGGAGGTTCCTCTGCCAAAGGTCCGTGCACAAGGAGAAACAGAAGTTTTAAAAGTAATTCATACAGGAAAAAGAAAGAAGAAGGCTTGGAAGAGAATGGTTACAAAAGTTTGTTTTGTTGGAGATGGCTTCACTAGGAAGCCTCCTAAATATGAACGATTCATTCGACCAATGGTAATACTCTTGAGCTTTAAAGAATGTTTAAATAATAGTTCTTTTGATGTACTGCTTTCAATTCCTGTGACAAGGAAACTTCCTTCTATGTTAATACACTGTTACTACTGATGTAGAACATTCCTATTAATTTCCTTGCAGAAATCTAAATGTAGAATAGCCTGAGGGTGGGCAGACACCCCTGCAGTCAGAGTCTGCGTTGAAATCTCTGCTCTTAATCCCATAATTCAGATGATGCTAGTAACTTATAGTTACTTAAATTAGCTCAAGAAGGTCTTTAGCAAAGACACTCTAAGTAGCTTTTAAAGTTAGAGGCTTCCTTTTCAACTTGCTGTGATTCTGTCAGCTACAGAAGCCAACTCTCTTCTAGGACTCCAGAACTCCTGGCTTGCTAAGTCAGCTTGAAGCAGTCATAACAGTATGCAAGGGAAATGCTGTGCCTCTAGCCTGACCTTTTCTTACGCAGCTGCAGGAATGGTGCTTGGGCTCTAGCAGCTCAGCACTGCACAAGAGAAACAATTACCTTCACTGGGGCAGTGTAGTTTTTCTATTAATATCTGCTCCTGTTTCCTCACAAGAATAAATAGAATCACTGGATCCAACTGCTTGTTGGATCATACCTCATTAATATTTTGATGAATTATCTTAAGACAGAAGCCTTGCATAGATTATTTTTGACACAGAAGAAATTATGTTACTTCATAGTATAGTACCCTTTATGAAGCACAGGTTGCTAGGTAGAAGTGCTCTAAGAGATAGTTATTTTCTGTTTTACAATATGTGTAAGGTTTTTCAGTTTTACAAGAGTAAAGGAAAAAATTCTAGTCTTAAAAACCAATAGCACTGTTAAATGCATTACCAGAAATGTCTAATAACTTCATGGGACAGTAGCCATCTGAGGTAGCACATACTCTTCTTGTACTACTGTTAAAAACTGGTATGCTGAAAAGATAAATGGAAAGCTTTATCTTGTCATTAATCATCCTTTTAAACAAATCTGGAATTCTATAGTAGGCAGACAGCAGTCTGTATTCTAGGTTGTTTCATTCTTCCCAGTCTCTCAAAACATAAAAAGCTGAGGACATAATGCTGAAAGTGTTAACCTAGATTTGTTGTGAGGGCTTAAAGCAAGTATCAGCTTGTTCTAACACCCTTTCTGCCACAGGGCTTACGTTTCAAGAAGGCACATGTGACGCATCCAGAGCTTAAAGCTACTTTTTGCCTACCTATCCTTGGTGTAAAAAAGAATCCTTCGTCTCCTTTGTATACAACACTGGGTGTAATTACCAAGGGTACCGTCATTGAAGTGAACGTGAGCGAGCTTGGCCTTGTAACACAAGGGGGCAAAGTTATCTGGGGTAAGTAGTTAAACTAGCTATACTGCAGAACTACTTTAAAAAGTTTTAAATCTTCATTACCTGATGTATTGTTAAGACCACTTGCTATAAATTGTCCTAATTGATCCACTGTTAAATGTTAGGTTTGGGGTGTAGCAGAAACTAGGCAGCTCTAAAAATGCAAGTTGTAAGTTTTAATTTTACGCTTTCTATTGACACTTTTAAAATCAAATAAGGTGAAGTCCAGAACAAATACAGCTTGCTTGCCTATGTCTCAGATCAAGCAATGCTACAAGTCTGTAAAGACCTAAGCCAGTGAACTGTGAACAACTATTGTTTTCAGTGGGAGTTCTGTGAGGAAGTATCTTCCTAGGATCAGGCTAACGTCTTTTAATAGAGAGTTTAACTTGGACTATAGCAGAACCTATGAATTATTTTTTTTTAATTACCCAGAACTCTTAAATAATCCATTTACAAAAACAGCTTGAATCACAGAATCCCAGAATATTAGGAGTTGAAAGGGACCTCGATAGATCATCCAGTCCAACCTCCCTGCCAGAGCAGGATCACCTAGACTGGGTCACACAGCAACGTGTCCAGGTGGGTTTTGAATGTCTCCAGAGAAGGAGACTCCACAACCTCTCTGGGCAGCCTGGTCCAGTGCTCTGTCACCCTTACAGTAAAAAGTTTTTGCTTATATTCAGGTTGAACCTCCTATGCTCCAGCTTGCACCCATTGCCCCTTGTCCTGTCATTGGCTGTCACTGAGAAGAGCCTGGCTCCTTCCTCCTGACGCTTGCCCTGTACAAATTTACATACATATATATATATTTATACATAAAGCAGAAGGTAGATTTAGATTTCAAAATGCATTTCAGTTCAGGAATTTCCTACACTTTTAGAAAGACTTGTGGATTGAACTTGCAAACATAGAAGATTTGAATTTATTATATGAACTACTGTAAGCTTTTGAAGACATTTAATTCCCTTTTCTTTTTAGGGAAATATGCACAAGTAACAAACAATCCAGAAAATGATGGCTGTATTAATGCAGTTCTGCTTGTTTAAGTTGCAATTTGATACTAAGCAATTGACGTGGCCCCATCAGTGCAGTTTCAGCAAGTGTGCAAGATCTCTGAAACCACCAACCACTCAAGACCATTGACCCTACAAGCTGGTGAGGAGCTTAAACATGCTGGAAACGACAGCTCTGGATTTTGTATTTACTATGTTTGCTCAGCTGAACACTGTTCAAATAAATTGATTCAATTTTCACATTTTGTTAATGTGGTATGGTTTGATCTCAGCCTTCTTGGTGTTCTTACAGTAGCAGTTTCCTGGCTTAGATAATTTATATAAATATTTAATTTAGGTCACATTCCTAGTGATGGGAAGTACAGCTGCTATGTCCAAAGATGGCCTACTGTAATAGCTAAAGGTACAGAGGAACATACTAACTTGTACTGTGTTTCTGGGAAAGCAGAAGAGCTGGAAGAATGCAGCTGCTCAGTTTGATACTTACCTCTACAGAAGCATGGGCTTGAGAACAAATTAGCACCACGAGGATGTAGTGGGGGAAGATAACTAGGAGGGCAGCAGGAAAATTATTTTTCTCCACCCCTCTATTATCTCATGTCTTTCTCTGCCTCCATGACTGCATTAATGGAAAGAGTAAGGGCTGGAGAGTATAGCACTGTGGTTCTAGGCAAGAGAACAACAGTTAAATTTATGAAGTTGTAGAGGTTTTAAGACGTGAAATTTAAGAATGGTGTGACAGCCCTGATACTACAACTACTTGTAGATATTTTCACAGAATACTGCAAGTTGGAAAGGACCTCAAAAGATCACCCAGTCCAACCCCCCTGCCAGAGCAGGATCACCTAGACTGGGTCACACAGCAACGTGTCCAGGGGGGTTTTGAATGTCTCCAGAGGAGACTCCACAACCTCTCTGGGCAGCCTGTTCAATGCTCTGTCACCCTCACAGTGAAAACATTTTTCCTCGTGTCCAGGTTGAACCTCCTATGCTCCAGCTTGCTCCCCTTGCCCCTTGTCCTGTCATTGGCTGTCACTGAGAAGAGCCTGGCTCCTTCCTCCTGACACTCACCCTTTACAAATTTATAAACATTAATGAGGTCAAAGTACACAAAGTTCACTTCAAGCCAAGGATCTTTTAACACAAATTCCAAGTCAAATTGTTATATAAGTTTTCTCCAGTTCATGAGGGCCCTCGTAACCCCTCAACATTGTGAAAGGGGAACTTTGAAACAAAACTCCTAGATATTTCAGAAACCAGAATGAATAGGTTTGTCTTGAAGCTTTTTGCATAAACAAACATTTAAGACTACAGGTGGTCACACAAGCAATAAGCAGGTTGAGTAGCAGTTTACAGAATCACAAAGTAGTTAAGGTTGGGAGGGACCTCTTGGGATAAATAGAATTTCTAGTATTCCAGTTTGTTCCATCATCTTTATATTCTCCCACTAGGTATTTGTACATGAGGCAAGATCCTCTTGAGTTTTCTCATGCCCACACTGAACAGTTGCAGCTCTCAACCTCTTGTATGACATGTGCTCCAATCCATTAGTCATCTTCATGACTAACTTCTCTTACACTATCTAATAGTGGCAGTACTTTAACTATACAGAAATTGTCTTCTCTTACAGGCTATTTTGTTAGTTTAACATATTGCACTAGTCTAGACTTAACTTACTATGATTTATACTTCTCTATGTAGTGACAAGTGATTTGAAACTAAGAGAGGGTCACAGGCCAGTAAGTCATTTGCTTGGAGAGAGGGCATTTTGTCAAAACAGATAAGGCTCTGTTTAAGTTCATGTTGCTTTACTTTTTACTGCATGTTAACACAAACAAACAATTTTCTACAGCTATCTCAAGAACATTTACATTTTGTGCTATAAATACATTACTTACTGGCTGAATAATACAATTGTTGCATTTAAGACATTTTAATGTACCACACTGTAGGGAGTGTGTTACAGCATTTCTAGTTGGCTTCTCTATAGCAGATGATGTTAATAACTGCTAAGTTTACACCAACTATGCAAGATGTAGATGGCAGAATGCATGCTGTAACATTCAGAAGAGCCTGTTCTACAGCTTTTTTTCTTAAAAGTCTGATCAATAAGCTAAGTACAGGAAATTATTTTAATTGATAAAAGAATTTTCAATTAATAATCTTTGAGCTTTTAAAGTTCTTTGGTAGCAGACAGATTGTAAAATTATGCTATTTCTAGTGAACTGAACCACTTTAAAACATGCTTCCTGTATAGCAGAAAGGACTCAAAATACTAAAAACAAAGAAAAATTAATCACAAAATATAAGTTTAATTCCTACTTCAAAACATTTCAAAAGCAGACAAGACAGTACTAAAAAAAAAGGAAAAACTAACACTGTAACAAGACTTAATTACAATACTCTAGAATAGCAACACATCTTTCATAAGATTTATAAACAGAGTATCACTAGTTTAGAAAACATCTACCACCACATTTGTGAAAATAAGTCTAAATTTGTATCCCCTTGTAAATAAGATTTTAGAATGGTCACTTAAAGGAGAGAAATTGACACTTAGGCCTATTTCTTGCTATGATTAACTCAGTATCATTGATGACATTATAAATGATCTATTTGATTACTAACATCCACAAATGAAATGGTATAAGAAAGCAACAAACCAAGGTCAGACATCATTTCAAGTAAGTTAAAAGTACTTTCAAAATAAGACACGTATACATGTTCGTGTAAAGGGCTACAAAACATGAGAACAGCAAACAAGTATTCTGCATGAAATTAAAATAGACCAAAAGAATGTGGGAGAAGCAAAGCAAATCCTGTTAAAGATTAGAAGCAGCACAACAGAGACATTTGAACAAATACCAGATTCAAATACAAACTCATTTACCATTTAAGTGGAAGGCTGAAGTCACAAATTAATGTTCTTTAAAGTCTATTCTTAGAACAAATAATGCTCAAAAATAATACTGCTTGCTTTCACTGTACACATAGGTCCACAGCACATTGTAATAACATTTGGTACAAACTTGTAGAAAGTTGATGTTTTCATAATTGGTTGCTGGTGCAATAAGATCTTAAAAATTAGTTTGATGGTAATAAGACAGTTAACAGATCAAAAAAAACAATCAACCATGCCTAAAAAATGCTGGTTTTCCCAAGGTAAAACATTTCTGTCAATATAGTTGTCAGATGCGTTCCCTTTTGTTAACGTAACAGAAGATTCAAAATATTGAACTATTGTTTTAATAGGGCAATCAGTACAGCAATAAAAACTACTATTTAAAGTCAGTATTTTGATTTTGCTACTCTGCATTTACTGAAATATGATTGATGGCAGAGAATTTGTTACAGAAATAAACTGTGTCCTTTAGTTCATAGTACTGCAGTGACCATAATTAGAACAACCAGTTTTCAAGACTGTACTGGTTATGAGAATAGCTATTTGCACCCCAACTGTTCATGCTCAGTAGGTAACAATCTGGCCATCAGTCTTAAGTACCCCAGATTTACAGAGGTATCTAACTCAAGAGTAAACTTAAAGACATGAACTTAGGTTCAGTATTTAAAAATGACTCATTGAAATGGGATCAGAAACCTGACTGTTCTCAACAGAAACCAAGACTTACCTAATCTAATAACCCTGTTGTAATATTTAGGTATTCAATATGCAGATCTCTTAAAAGAAAGGTACTAATCGAAATCAGTTCCAACTTAGGCATGAAACGTAGAAGCCAGATGAGTGACATCACCTTCTCACAAACACTGCTTTCCAACCACACAGGGAATACAAGTGATAAATATATGTATAAAAAATCCACCTGGAAGTTATTTAAATAAATGGCACTCACTTTTTATGTGAAAAAAAAAATCCTAAGCTTTTTGAAAGTGGATACATTTGTATTAATTGAAGTATTCAGCAGATTAATCTTCAGTAAAGCTTGCTCTAAAAATGAAAGATGAGTCACAATACACTGTATACAACCACCCTTTAAGCCACCAGCCTTCACAAATCCCAAATTCATAGCAATGCGATAGTTTTCTAGTCACGTTTTTTCTTCCCCACAATAAATCTTAGCACTAAAAGAGAAGCCATACAGAAGTTTTGTCTCATGCACTTTATAGAAACGGCTTGATTAGTTTTAGAAATGCTGAAGGTTCACTTGAGCATGCATACAATCAATCATAAAAGACCTTGAATATTTATCAGGCATAGGGTTCATAAGGAGTACCTGTATGAATATTGATAGGAATTTACAGCTATGTGCAATAGTTCAAGAAACCCAGATGTAACACAGTAATTGCATGCACCCCGACTCTAAAGTTCAGGTAATACATGTTTCTTAAAAATTGCTTTTTCTTTCCCCCAATAAACTGCTCTTAGCAGATTAGAAAGGACTGTAGGACTGTAGTACTTCATCAGCTGAAAGGAATAGTACCAGTGTATCTTATACAGTTAAAATATCTTATAAATACAGCTAAGCTGTATAAGCATAAAATCCAAAACCAGATTCCTACATTAGCTTCATAGAGGGATAAAAATTAAGACAGAATTGCAAATATTCAAGTGAACCTTGGACTCAGAAGTCCAACAGCAATTTCTAGTAACTTTGAGACACAGTGGGAGACTAGTTCACTTATCTCAGAAAAGACATACAACAGGACCAATGTCAGTGTGATTTCCTGTTCTTAGAACCATTGCTCTTTCTTATTCCAGAGTTCTCTCATTACAGGAGGAGCACAAACTAAGGAGTAACTTACTGTATGTGTCACAAACTAAGTTAAATACATGGTTTGCCAGGAGAATCTCTGAAGGGTAACATACATGAAAAGCCTGGTTTTGTTTCTGTTTGCATACAGCAGGTTTGGTTGCACTTTTAAGAAAACCTGTGAAATGGGAAGCTACCATCCCAAGGATTACACTCAAGTTAGAAGAGGAAAGTAGGAATCAGAAGTATTTGCAAGCAACCAGCTGCCAACTCCTAAAGGCACAGAAGTTTGGCAAACAAGCTCTTGCTGAAACTTCCATTAATATTCACATTAAGGAATATCACAACCACCTCAAATGCCAAGTCTCACAGGAGTCACACACCTGGCAGTCACAGTATTTTAATAGTGACACCACAGCACCAGCTGAGTATTTGGAAAACACAAAGCATTGCTTCCATTCAGACCAAAATGAGATCAAAAGTTACCATATCCTTTCCCTGTCATGTAACAAGTAATCAAGTATCCACTCAACACATCCAAGCAGTTAGGAAGGCAGTTTTGTCTCTATTCCGTACTGGACTCTACACTTGATACATTCTGGAAAAACTTAGGCTTATCAAGATGCTCACTTTGGAAGTTACAAGTATTTTAGTATGTAGGCATCTCTTACTCCTTACATAAACTCCTTACACTTCATTATCAGAGTGCGCTATAGCAGACACTACACTGACCAGGTTTCTACTGACTCAGCTGTTTCAAGTGGTTCTCATGAAAGACAGATGCTCCTTCTGCTGTTCTGAACTACCGAGTTATTCCTTCTTGTGTATTTTGAGACCTTGAATTACAGAATCTTACATCCTTTTAACATCAACTGCAAAAAAAATCCATGGGAAAGGACCAAGAAGTGAGGAAGCATTTTTCTTGTTCTGTTTCTCTCCACAGTAGGGAACAAAGTTTCTAAAAAAATATGCTAGAGTGATGTCTGGCCTCTTGGAAGTCTATGGGAATTTAATGAACCTTGATAGGGCCAGGATATATTTACTTTCATACTCTGACAATGCTCAATGTCTAGTAGTTAAATTTAAGGAAACTTGAGGAAAGGTGATGAATCTTAAGAAGAAGTCCAACCCAGAATTTTAAACATATGTGTTCCATGTCCCATATAGCTTAGTTACATCCTAGTGTTTTACACAAAATAACTGTCTTATAAATAAATGAATTAACAATCAATATTTTATTTTTAAGCTAGCTTTCCTTTTTTCTTGGGTGGACCTTTGTAGCCTTTGGTCTTTCTTCGCAGGTTTCTCCGATCCACAATGGGTACCTCAATTTCTGCTTCCTCAGAGCTGCTGTCAGCAGCCCGCTCCACTGTTGTCTGCATGTACTGATCATTAACCTCAACAGATTCTTCCAAGTGTTCTTCCAACTGGTTCTTCTGTCCTTCCTGTGCAGAAGCCTGCTGAAAAGGAACACCCTCAAGTTCAACCACTATTAAAGAACTCTGAGTCAAGGTAACAGGGGCCTCCTGCGAGTTGTGTCCTGCCTCCTCATTTTGATCTTCCAGTGAGGAAGCTGTTTTGGGCAATATGTTTTCAGAAGCAGATTCTGCTGCTGCTTCGATTACCATAGAGTTGGGCAGGCAATTGTCAGAAGGCTCTTCCTTCAATGCTAGAGCAGCTGCATCTTCAGTGATGGTCTTTTCAGGGTCTTGCTGTTCTTCAGTGACCTCCTCTACTAATGTACTTTCTTCAGTCAGCACTTCTGAATCATTTGCATTTAAAACCTGCAGGGGGAGGGGTGCCAAAACAACCAAAGGGACAATTAATTGAACATACAAGAGGTGGAACAACTACTGCCCCTAGCTAGCAATCTCAGAGGATATTTTGGCATTCAGCATTTTTTATTACTACCTGTACAGTAAACAAACCAGTCCTTTCATCCTTTCATTCACAAGACTATTTGATGAATGGCATTTGATATCCAGAGTTGATCTCCAATTTTCAAATTAAAATTATTCAAAGGAATATTCAGATACAGTAAAAACATTCTGAAATTATTCCCAGGGAAAAAAATAAACTACTTTTTATTTTAGACATACACAGTTATCATTTTGCCAGCATATAACAATCTGCTTTTGCACTATAAACAAAAACCAGCAAAATCTGTGTTGTAGAAGGGTATTTTTATTCTAGAAGGGTATTTTACCAGTAATTAATTTATTGTACACTTCGTCAAGGCAGAATTACTAGACAAAATAAGGATGTGGCTTTTTACTCATATCCAACTAATATCTTAGTGAGAAAAGCTGTTTCATTACTGCCAAGGCAAACTGGAGCAAAATACCTTTCTTTTTGGTATCACATGCATATATGCCCCACTTCTGCTATTTAAAACAGAAACATTAGTGTATTCTGGTTATGGATTTACATAATCTGGCCTAGTAATTGCTTCTCCCAAGAATGTCATAGAATCATAGAATGGTTTGGGTTAGAAGGGACCTTTAAAGGTCATCTAGTCTAACTCCCCTGCAGTGAGCAGGAACAATGTCACTAGATCAAGTTGCTCAGAGCCCCATCAAGCCTGACTTTGAATAGCTCCAGGGATGGGGCCTCCACCACCTGTCTGGGCAACCTGTTCTAGTGATCTACCAGGCTCATATTGAAGAACTTTTTCCTAATATCCAACCTAAATCTACCCTTTTCTAGTTCAAAACCATTACCCTTCATCTTATTACTACTATCACTACTCTAGTGAACAGCTCTTTGCCAGATTTCTTACAGGCACCTTTCAGGTACCGGAATACCTTTCAGGTATTCATATTTCGTATGATCGTAGGGGTCACTTTCTATCTGTTACTCAACAAAAGCAAAAACAGCAAGGTATGAAGGAAAGATGACTTCATGTTTTGTTTCAATTCTCTCACCTTCTCTGATGCAGTGTCTTCTGAAGGTTTTGCTGCAGATTCAAGAATTACTGGAACAAACAGTGTTAGGGGTTCTTCTCCTTGACTCTCAGACTGCAATTTTGATTCACCAACAGGAACTTCATTTGCTGTTTCCTCTTCAGCTGTAAGTGAAGTCTTACCAGTTTTTTCTGTGACCTCACCATTAAGAGGTTCTGATGGAGTTTCCTAAAAAAAAAAAACAACAAAAACAACCAACCAAACACAAAAAAACCCCACACCAAAACACATTTCTAAGTCAAGATTATGCCCAGTCATTGTTCCCCAACACTAGTGAGCACATCTGTGATCTAAATTTGCAGAAAGGCAGATAGCTCATGTACCTAGAAACGCATACTAAGAAGGCAGAGCTTAATGCAGAGTAGCTAACTTAACTGCACTAAATTCCTGACCATAACTTACACTATTAGGAGTCAAACCAAACCATTCTAATGCATTTCACAAGCATACATGCTACAGTATTTCCTTGAACCCAGCATACTGTAAGATCCACTTTATCACAGATGAGTACGAACATAAAACTCTGGAGGTACCACTAGCCACAAAGGATACTCAGATTTAAATTCAAGTTATTAAAAAGTTGTAGATAAGAAGCTGTATTTAAACATCAAAGCAGGCAAGCTTTTAGTGGAGAAGAGCCAACAGTAGTCACTGAATCATACCAGCTATTGGCCTCTTGAAAGAAACTTTTAAAAAAACCCCACAAATTCCAGTCCTCTGGAATATTTGAGAAGAAGAAACCAATTAAGAAAGTTAGTTTGGTAGGCAAGCTAGAAATTTATCTTACTGAAGACCCTATGAACTCTATCGTTTAAAATCAGTAAAATGGAATATTCGCTGAAACTAATTTTATACTAGACCTAGCTTCTCAGATTCATTTCTCAATGAGGCATAGATATGAAAATCAGAGTTGATAGTCACATGGATCAAGGCAAGAACAATCATATTTAACAGAAACTGTAGTTGTACTCTAAACTTATTCGCTATTGCTATCACATTCAGCTCACCTCCTCACTCTGTTTCTCAGGGGGCGATGCATGTAGCTCTGCTTCTGATACAGACCGGCCCTTATTTTCAATAACTGCTACCTCATTCATCTCAACACTATCCTCCTCAGGTACTTCTTCCAAGTCTTCAGCAAGACCTTCAGCTGTGTGTGCAGGAAGCTCCACCCTGCAGCAGGTATTAACATACATCCTTTAAATTTTTAGATTAATACACAATTGTGGTGATCTCAGCAGGGAAACTCTTTCATGACCAATTATCAAGTGCTGTATCTCACACTTGCCACAGGAAATATTCCAGAAAACTAAATACATCTAAAACCGGCTAACTCCTCAGGGAAAAAACCCATCAACTAGGATGAAATGCTTTGGCACTTCCATTACGGGAACAAAAGTCAGAAATTTGTTATTTTGAATTCAGCAAGTAGTAATCCATCACAGGTTTGGAAGCCACAAAGGGGTGAGAAAGGAAGCCATTTCTATTATCCCCTCTGTAAAAACAGTTTAAATATATTTATATAATTGTTAAATATACATATATTACAAAGACCATGACTACAAAAGAATTCAAGTCAATAAACGCATCATGGCTGAAGAAGATTCAATCACTTAGAGAATAAATTAGCAAATAGCTAAAGATGGAAGCTCTGATGTGCCTGATGGGTAGTAGCAGTATCTCAAACATTCAGTTCTCCTTTTTTAGTTAGAACTTAGATAAACTCGAAGTACTGCATAAAAGCAAAGAAAATAGGACATGCAATAGATTTGCAGAAAGTTTCTTCACTATCTCATAGTAAAGGCAGTATGAAAGTTTTTATCCCAGGTGCCAGCCTTGAGATGAAGGCACTCCACAGGAGAAAGTGCCTGACAGAAGACTTTGCTACACTTGTTAGTGTGCATGGAAGGAGAAAATCAAGCTGATACCCTTCCCTGTTGCCATCAGGATTCCCCTTAGCTCTGCTCACAGACACATACTGTTCAGAGGAGCAGTGGCACCTTGCTGACTTCATTTTGCAAGTCCCAAAATACTGACATTCAATAACAGGCTAGTCCTCTCAGATACCAACTAGCCAATTATTAGTAGCAAGAGGGCAGAATTTCTCAACCTGTGGCAGCATCAAACCATGCCATTTGGCCTATCTAAATCAGCTTAAGGGCAGCACTCTGACAGTGCAAGACAGAGTGCTGTATCTCTGTAGTTCCACAGAGCAAATTAAACAAAAATTATGCTGTACCTAACTGAAGAACTTGGCTTCATGTGAAGAAACACACACAAAAGACATCCAACAACAAAAAAAGAGCTAATTTTGATTAAAAGAGATTAAAGAGACCTAATCAAACAAGTCTGAGGGACTTCCTAGAAAATAATCAGATTATTTTCAGGTCTTCAAAAGAGGTTTTTGGGGTTGCAGAGATTGTTTTGGAAGAGAAGGCTAGAGGGAGAGAGAGACTTCAGGGAGGGTTGTCTGAGTGTGCATATACTCACACACAGGAAGGTGCAAAAAATAAATTTATTTAAAACAGCCACAGTTGCTTTCTAGATGAAAGTCAGTGTAAATTAGTACTCCAGGCCCTGTCTTTATATGAATTGTTACAGCATGCAAGTGGTACAATTCTTCACATACCCATTTGACAATTATTACTCAGGATAACATCCTTTAAACTGGGAACTACTTTCTTTTTTTTTCCAGGATGTTAAGTTTGGATATGATGGCTTAAAATCAGAATTTGTCTAAACAAAGGGCCTTTCTTTGAAGACAGGTGGCTCCCTGTAACTCTTGTTACTAAGTGACAAGCAGTAACCAGCTCCCAAACTAAACAATCAGACTTTATTTTACTGCAATATGCCACCATAACTAAAGGTCAGAAAGGGACACCTCTCCAAAGATCACACATAGCATTGTGGATATATGTTCAGCCATATCATCACAAGAAATAATGCTGTATGATGTTTTCACCTTCATGCAGACTCAGCTGTAACAGAACACCCTCAACTCTCACTGTTTTCCTACTGTCATTTCCAGTATTTGCCGACCTTTCAGAGACACTACATTTTAATGCAATCACTCTTCAGGTGATGTCTCAATTTTCTTTCTCACATCAGGCTTTGTTTTTAGTAATTTTAAAATCAAGCAAGTGAAGTAGGGAGAAAGGAGAAGAAATACCAAGTAGCACACTATGAGGCAATGTAGTTTGTGATTTCCCAAACAACAAAACCAGAAATTAGCAAAATATGGGCTCCTCTACCTGCTTTCTGATACAGGAAGAGTATTTTCCTCAACTTCTTGGGAAGTTTCAGGTTTAGATTCCTGGCTCTTTTTTCCTATCCTGGGATGTTTCAAATGACTGTCTTGCACCCAACTGGCAGCGGGAGCTATTTTAGGGTCTTCGGAAAAAACAAACAAATCAACAAAATAAATGCAAGTGAACAAATGCAGTCTAAGATCTGCATATAATTTCCACACTCCCCCTAATATTTCATTAAAGAAACTGCAAGTAAAGCATCACTTCATTGTGGTACTTTTTTTTTTTTAATACACAGTCATAATATTTTTACCAAGACTTGTAACACTTTTATCCAGAGTCCTCTAAAAGTTTTGAGTTGATAATCAGCACCTTAGAGAAAGCTGTATTTATTTAAATACTTTGCAGATGAATATGCCAAGATTGAAAGCAGCAGACGAGACTGCTAAACCTATTAATCCACAGTAATCAAAATACTGATAATCAAGGTTATTTTTACCTTTAGATGTTCTTGCATAGACATCTCTTGATTCTTTACCTTTTTGAGAATCAGGCTGTGAAGCAAAAACAAAGCTAATATTATTCCAAAATCTTCTGAACTGTGACACCTTCATCTCCCTATCTGTGGTTGCATCTTTCTAAAGCACTATTTCATAGTAATGATCCTGTGGAAGAACAGCTACAACCATTCTTAATTTAAGATACTCACATGTTTCTATCTCGTCTCTCAGATTTTTTTTTCATTATTATTACACTTATTACAAGGATGAGTATTTTTTCTGCATGTTACTTCTGGCCTCAACATAAAAGATAAGACTTCTGAAGAGAGAGATGAAATATTCTACAAGCAACAGGGAGAAGTCTCATGATCACTAGCCCTTGTTCTTGTGGGGAACTTCAACTTACCAGATGTCTGCTGCAAATACAATACAACAAAAACAAAACAGTCTGAGTTTCCCGGAGCATGTGGAAGATAACCTCCTGACACAACTGGTGAGTCAACCAACTAGGGAAGGCGCTCTGTTGACAATGTCATTTGTGAACGGAGAAGGCTTTGTGGGTGATGTAATGGGTGAAGAATCCCTGGGGCACAGTGATCATGAAATGACAGAATTTGATTCTTGCAAAAGTAAGAAGCGGGGTCAGCAGAATTGCCACCTTGGACTTCTGGAGAGCAACTCTGGACTGTTTAGAAGGCTGGCTGACAGAATCCCTAGAAAGGCAGTCCTGAAGGGCAAAGATGCTCAGGGAGGCTGAGCACTCTTCAAGAAGAAAATCCTGGAGGCACAAGAGCAGGCCATCCCCATATACAAAAAGATGATCCAGTGAGGAAGAAAACTGGCCTAGCTGAACAAAGAGCTTTGGCTGGATCTCAAAAAAAAAAAAAAAGAGGAAGGTCTGTGAGCTTTGGAAGGAGGAGCAACCAACTCAGGAGGACTGCAAGGATGAAGTGAGGTCATCCTCAGGGAGGAAAATTAGAAGGGCTAAAGCCCAACTAGAACTTAAATTGGCTAACTCTTTGAAAGATTAAAAAAAATGTTTCTATAGATATATTAACAACAAAAGGAGGGCCAAGGAGAATCTCCATCCTTTATTGGATGCAGGGGGAACCACAGTGACAAAGTATGAGGAAAAGGCTGAGGTACTTAACACCTTCTTTGTCTCAGTCTTTAATAGCAAGGTCAACTGTTCTCTGGGTACCCAGCCCCCTGAGCCAGAAGACAGGGATGGGGAACAGAACAAAGCTCCCATGATCCAAGAGGAAATGGTTAGTGACCTGCTCATGGCCTGGACAGGCATACTCTCTGCTGGGTAAAAAACTGGCTGGATGGCCAGGACCAAAGAGTGGCGGTGCATGAACTTAAATCCAGTTGGAGGCCAGTCACAAGTGGTGTTCCCCAGGGCTCAGTGTTCTGGCCAGTTCTGTTTAGCATCTTTATCAATGACTCGGACAAGGGGACTGAGTTCTCCCTCAGTAAGTTTGCAGTGAGTAGACATGCTTGAGGGTGTGACAGCAGAGGGATCTGGATAGGCTGGATTGATAGGCTGCAGTCAATTGTATGAGGTTCAACAAGGCCAAGTGTCAGGTCCTGCACTTGCGTCAAAACCATCTCATACAATGCCACTGGCTTGGGGATGAGCGGCTGGAAAGCTGCTTGGCAGAGAGGGACCTGTACCAACTGGTCAATAGCCAACAGAATATGAGCCAGTAGTGTGCACAGGTAACCAAGAAGGTCAATGGCAGCCTGGCCTGTATGAGAAATAGCATGAAAAGCAGGATCAGGGAAATGATTCTTCCCCTGTGATTTAGGCCCCTCACTACAAGAAGGGCATTGAGGCACTGGAATGTGTCCAAAGAAGGACAACAGAGCTGGTGAAGGGTCTGGAGCACAAGTCTTATGAACAACAGCTGAGGGAACTGGGGGTGTTCAGTCTGGAGAAGAGACTGAGGAGGAGGTTGTAGTGAAGTGGAGGGTCGGTCTCTTCTTCCAAGTAACAAGTGACAGGACAAGAGGAAATGACTGCAAGTTGCACCAGGTGGGGTACCTATTAGATATTAGGAAAGGTTTATTCACTGAAACAGTTATCAGGCATTGGAAAAGGCTGCCCAAGGAAGCGGTCGAGTCACCATCTCTGAAGATATTTAATATTTAAAAGACAGGTTGATGAGATGCTTAGACACATGGTTTAGTAGTGGGTAGGTTATGGTCCTGAAGCACACAAATCCATGTTCACTGTATTTAGAGCTATAAGTCATTCTCAAGCTCATTCTGAGACCACAAATGAGATAAAGGACCAGCTTCATAATATTCAGAGACAAATATATTCATGTTCATATATCCATATACAGCTGAAATCCAGTTGATATTTCAAATATGTACTAAGAAAGCTGCAGTCCTTTTATACGGACAATGTGTAACTCTGAATGCAAACTACTTTCCATTGTATTCAACTGTGATGTTAATGTGCACTTCTATAAACACTTTTCCTCATTCTCTCCAGCTTAGTAATCACTGTTACATCATTGGGAAGCATAACATCTACCCAAAAAGTAACAAAAGTATTTGTCTTTATAACTGAATTGGCTCATGTCTGCACAATATATAATGAGATGCACAAAAAGCATTCCTCATACTTTTTAATTAACAAAGCAATAAAAAGAGGTAACAGTTTGTGTACCTACACTTTGCAGTGTTTTTAGCACAGTTTTCTGTCCACTTGCTTCAGATACTGCTGCAGACTGCTGAAAATGATCCTCTACCTGGCAACTCTTATTTTCTTTCTGTGAGGCTTCTGCTGTTAAGATTTAAAATATGAAACAGGGAAACAGAAAGTTATAGTACTCATATAAAACAATTAACCATTCCAAATACGATCTCACAGATGTCAGGATAAATAATCTTTCTGCTAGTCTCCATAGGCAGCGTTCACAGAAGTCACTGTTGTACTTGTGGAGCAATGGTTCATTTTTTTTAAAATATCAGAAAACAAAAGCAAAATATCCATACCTGCAGTTTTGAGCTTTTCTCTTTGCATTACAGAGTTAATAGATCTTCTCTGGAAAGAATGTCCTGCACCCTCCACTTCCCACAAAAAGCTATGATTCATAGGATACTTCTCAAGATATTGCTTACAAGCTGAATAAACAAGGAAAAATATATTATATGTACTATATACTCAGTTGTACCTCAGTTTTTAAAGTTTCTCAAATCAAAATATGATTAATTTCTTATTTGCAATCTTCACTTATACACATAAACCATCACAGAAAACTGTTCAACAAAACAGTTGTGTCTGCAATAAACATCATATTGCTTTACCCTACCTCAGTAAATCCTTCCTGGAGGTTTTAACACTTTCCATTATTATCTTAAACTGCAAACAAAGGTGAATAGGATCTTCTTCTTCTCCAAGCACTCACTTGAGAGTTTTATAACTTCTTCTGTCACTGTCCCTGCCAATAACAAGACTCAACCCAGGATGGGAGGGGCTCTTAGGCTGACGATATAGTCAAGTGATTTTTGTCACCCCATGTTACTATAGGCACTTATGAAAAGCACTCTTTGGGAATGCAAACATATTACCATTGCACAGTTTATCATCTATTCACTGTTCATTTCTGGAATATTTCCTTCTCTGCTGTCCCTTCATCTCACTTCTTCTAATACACATACTAAATATCCATGTGGAGAGGCATGCTTTGGCATTATTTTGTAACAGCTCCCAGGAAAACTACCATTTTTCACCTAATTCACTACTGATGCATAAACTCAGTGGACAAGATCCCTGTCATATCATTCCTTGATCAGGGAAATGGATTAGTAATTAAACTCTGCTCAAGACAGTTTGCCGGTTTAAGCCTAACAAACCAGGTCTGGTCAGATCCAACAACAGACAGTGGTACTTGGAAAAGCAGAAAATTTCTAGTGGTTAAGAAGGCCAGATGAAAATGTTCACAGAAGGAATCCTGGCAGATGGTCTAAGAGCAAGACAAACCTTAAGAAACAGGGCAAAGAAAATATGCTTCTTGCCTGAACACAGTCCCAAACAACCTAATTTCCAGAATGTGCGTAATTTCCTAGATGATATAACCCTCTTGGGTTGGAAATGGAAGAGCCATAAGTGTTTCCCTTGTGCATTAGAACTGTGCCTTCTTTACACAAAACCTATCCCAGTATGTCCATTTGACCAGAAGTTCTTAAAAATCATTAATTAAATGACCTTGTGAGGTTTAGGTGCAAGCAAGAAAAAGGTGTTAAAAAGACGATATACATTAGATCCCACACAGAAACACCTCAGCCCATTCTAGAAGCTTGGGAGGGACACAGTGGTTAACTTCAGAGTGGCAGAAAGCCAGAGATCAAATAATATAATCTCATGTAGAGGATTAAAAAAATCTAATCAGGAGCTACATCACTATCTTAAACAAATCAGGATTTTTAGCCTTCACTGAGAAGCAGAATATTTAACACAGAAACTAAGGATGCAAACACAAACATGGAGCTTGAATGACAGCACTCACTTGGACATGTCAAGAAAGCACAAATTAACTTAGAAGAATAAGTTAAAGAGCTTGCCTGTGTACATGAAGGATGTCATTGGGTAGCGCAGGCCAAGAAGATCTTCAGTAAAGGAATCCACAAAGTCTTCCAAAATGAGTAGCCCAGTGTCTTTCCCACGATGTTTCCTTCTTACAAACATTGTGTCTAGCACTGGCAGCCTGTATCTCAGATTACGGTAAGAGCTACAAACACTTCCTGAAATTACAGGAAGGGAAAAAATATAAATCAGTACTTCAGCACCAAGATGCTGCAGCATGGATTTAGCATATTAAAATAGAAACTTTTACAATTTATAAAAATTATACCAAACAATAGATTTCTAAGTAACATAAAATTACATTAAACATTATAAAAATAATGTAGAACATTAACTGAAAATAAATAATTGCTCTCAGCCATTTATTGGCTCTTTGAGCAAGCTTCATAATGTTGCCAAGATATATCAATAGATTGGTATGTTAGAAAAAGTCTGTAGTACCACAAAAGAATAGCAGATACAGAGAGGAAAGGGTCATTTTGAAAACTCACTTTCATAGGAAAACTATGCTAAAAATGAAGCTGAAAGAGAGAGGAGGGAGGAGGAGACAAAATTATTGAATTGCACTTTTATGTAGGTTACATCACTTCTCAGGACAAATACTAATTCTATAATTCAGCTCTTGGTTAAAGACCGAAACAATAATTCAAATTTTTTAAATGAAACCACAAAAAAATCTGGGACATTTTACAATGGAATTCTCCCATAAACAGCACATTATCCATAATTAAACAAAGATGAAACAAACTGTCACAACACAAAGGTACTTCAATATCAGAGGATTCAAAGGGGAGCTATGGACTCAGTGGTGACAAAGGGATGACATATAATGGTGTTAAGATAGTCCATCAACTACCAAATCCATTTTCCGGCTCTCATTATGAGATTCAGTCTGAACTATGCCAAAAAGCTGTCCTTTCCTCTAAAAAGGCCAAAGAGGAGCATAGAGTTGTCTATACAACACTGTTAGTCTTTGCAATATTGTACTTTTGAGGCCAATGAACTATCTTTATTTTTCAAACAAGGAAAACTTGAGCAGGGAGGTTACATTACTTGGGTAACCTCTGGGAGTCAAGGTCCACCACTCTTTCTTACAGAGAGTAAGAGTGATATAGGACCTGATGGTCACCAATGCGAGTGAGCTAATCAGGAATGTCATGACTGGAGGCAGTCTGGGCTGTAGCAATCACGCGCTGGTGCAGTTTACCGTCCTAAGGCGTATGAGTCATGCGAGAAGCATAGTCAGGACCTTGAATTTCAGGAAAGCCAACTTCCAGCTCTTCATTGGTCAATAGGACCCCTGGGAAATGGCCCTTAAGGACAAAGGAGCAGAAGGGAGCTGCCAGATCTTTAGGGAGGTTTTCCATAGGACGCAAGAGCTCTCGATCCTCAAGTGTAAGAAATCAGACAAGGAAGGCAAGAGACCAGCATGGATGAGTCGAGACCTGCTGGCTAAACTAAAAGGCAAGATGGAACTACGTAGGCAGTGGAAGCAAGGACAGGTATCCTGAGAAGAGTACAGGGATGCTGCTCAGGTGTTCACGGATGAGATCAGGAGGGCAAAAGCACAACTGGAGCTGAACTTGGCAAGGGATGCTGAGAAAAACAAGAAGGGCTTCTACAGGTATGTCAACCAGAAAAGGAAGGTTGAAGAAAATGTTCCCCCATGATGAGCAACAGTGGTGAACAGACGAGGAGAAGGCTGAGGTTCTCAAGTTTTTTGCCTCAGTCTTCACTGGCAACCTCTCCTCTCACAGCTCTCAAGTTGATGGCCCACAACACAGGGACCAAGGAGAAAAAGTCCTGCCCACTGTAAGTGAAG